AACATTTAATGTTATTAATTACGTAATTAAATATGCAATTAAAATTAATATAACATAACACAATATATTAATTATTATAAATAATTAATATAATTATTATAATAATTAATAAAATTATTATAAATAGTTATATTAATAGGTTATATTACATTAATTTTTAATGTTACACACGTCTTGAAAATAAAAATTAATTTTTAAAATAAAATTGTTTATTTAGCTAATTCTTTTATACTAACCCCGATATTACAGTATCCAGTTAATATCTTAAGATTTTCCGCGCCGCACAAGATACATTTCGTGAACCTCCACCTTGTATAGTTCACTTTGACAGCTATCATAACCGTTCACTACGTGTATACAGAGATGGTGGATCGCGATCTCAAAATTTTTGCGCGTTCCAAAAATCATCAAAAAAAAGTGTTGCAACCTTTCCGTGAACGACTGTACACGGCAAATGTTTTAGCAAGAAATGGTAAGCAGCAAAATTTTTCATAAGACGTAAGCCTGATTGCACCAACTTCACATAATATTTAACCTTAGCTTAACTCGCTATTCGTCTCTTTCTAAAAGGTTAGTTCCCAGGTAGCAAGCACTCGTCATTTTGACGTCAATTGACGTCAAAAGTCTGTCATTTTGACGTCCTTTGACGTCAATTGACGTCAAAATGACGAGTGCTTGCTACCTGGGTTAGAAAGAGAAACACACACACACACAAAGTGAATTAAGTTACGATTAAATATTATGTGACTTAGGTGCAATCGGGCCTCATATTAAGTTAACTGTAAATTATTAAAATTATATAGAAATCTTGATGTAAAGGAATTAAAACTATACAGTTGAATTGTGCAATATGTATGATATTTGTCTATTATAATAGTGTCAAGTCTTACAATTAGTTTATACATTGATATCAATATATATGTTACACTTATATCAATATCATAGTATATGTTATTAAATAAATAATTTTACAAAATGCAAAAAGAAAATTAATTAAATGGAAAAATCAGCAACATATTAAAACAAATTCATTTTATTTTACAGACAATAAAAAAATATTAAATGAAATATTAAAAAACATAAATGAAGAAAAACCTTATATCATATGTAAAAGAATTCAGTTTAATAGTACAGACAAAGTCAATACATATGTCGAAAATAATGACGGTCAAGTATTTGCATCAATTTCCTTCATATTGATAAATTTTATGACTGCTATTTTATCATAAGTGTTTGATAGTATATAATGCAGTCTAAATTATTACTTCTATATTAGATATTAATACAAGAATAAGATTGGTAAACATACACAAAAAAGAAACTATATAAAAGTAACATGTAAAGTAATGATGTTCAAATCTGTATAATTTTTGTATTAATAATTCATATGAAAGTGACAAGCCAGACTTATACATTATTAACCAGTACTTTAGATTAATTTTCTAAATATTGTCTAATTTCATAATTATTTTAGCATATATTTAATTAATAATAATTTTGCCTATTACTGTTATATCAGATAAAAATACAAGGATAAGTAATACAAGAATGTGTGTCAATGAAAATATACACAATGGAGAGGCTGATACACGAAGACAAGATGATTCTTTGAAAAATCATGTTCAAATACTGTTAGGTGATTTTCTTAATTATTGTATAATTTTTTAGTACTTTAGTATAAATATTTAATAACAATATAACTTGGCTCTTTACTTTCATATCAGATACTAACACAAGGATACTGTGTGTCGACGAAAACATGCACAACAAAGATGCTGATGTACAAAGAGAGAACAGTGGTTTTTTAGGAAATAATGGCGTTCAAGTACCTACCGTTAGGTAATTTTTTCAACTATTGTCTAATTTTATTATTACTTCGGTACAAGTGAAAGAGTAGAAAATTGAGAGTTTTAATTAATTAATAGCTGTATTATTTATAAAGTATTAGTTAACTCTAAATTATTAATTAAAGTCGTATAGAAACCTTGATGTAAATTTTGAATTAAAATATTACAGTTGAATTGTGCGCTATGTATGATATTTGTCTATTGTAATAGTGTCAAGTCTTACAATTAGTTTAAACATTGTTATCAATATATGTTACATTTATATCAATATCATAGTAGATGTTATTAAATAATTAGTTTTACAAGATGCAAAAAGAAAATTAATTAAATAGAAAAATCAGCAACATATTAAAACAAATCAATCTCATTTTACAGATAATAAAAAAATTAAATAAAATATTAATAACAACAATATAACTTTGGTTTTTTACTTTTATATCAGATACTAACACAAGGACACTGTGTGTCGACGAAAACAAGCGCAACGAAGATGCTGATGTAGAAAAAGACAGTTCTTTGAGAAATGATAATGTTCAAATACCGTTAGGTGATTTTCTTGACTATTGTCTCAGTTTATTATTTTTTTGGTATAAGTATTTAATAACAATATAACTTGACTTTTTACTTTTATATCAGATACTAACACAAGGATACTGTGTGTCGATGAAAACATGCACAACACGGATGCTGATGTACAAAAAGAGGACAGTGGTTTTTTAGGAAATAATGACGTTCAAGTACCGTTAGGTAAATTTCTTAAATATTGTCTAATTTTCTTATTATTTTATTATAAATGTTTAGTAATAATTTTTATTGTTATATTAGATACCAATACAAGATTAGTGTGTGTCGATGAAAACATGCATAACAATAATACAGAGGCTGGTATGGAAAATTTTGAAGTTTTAATGTCCGTTGGTAAGTTATTATTATTTATTTGATTCTTTTCTTGCGGGTTAGAATAAACTTTCGTTTTAAAACATATTTAATAATTAAATTTAGATAATTGTTATTAATATATCAATTAAATAACTATTTCATTATGTCATTTTAAAGAGTAATCTCAGATTACGGTAAAATTGTGTTTTAAAATTTAGTGTTTAAATATTTTTAACAATATATTTAATTATTGGTTTATAACGATGTTTTACTTACAAAATATTCCTCGTATGCTATGATTGATTTATATATTAATTTTATCAAAATATATAATATTTTGATTATGGTTTTAATCTTATAATAAATTATATTTCTCACTTAAAAAGAAAAATCGGCAAATGAGAGTCAAGCGCTGTTCTTAGTGCACATATATTTTCGTATATTAGAATAAATTAAATACAGTGTCCGGACGTTTCAACTCTATTTTGAGTCATTTTCAACGGTATAAAATTAACGAGATAAAACGCAAAAATTCAAAAATCCTTTGGTGACGACCCATAGAAAATTCAGGTGTCATTCACAGCGGTTACACAGCCGAGTGATGTATTCCGGTCTATTTCTCATCCAAAAGAAGTCAACCAGTGTAGAACGAAAAATGCACATGTTCCAAAAAGATGTCACACAATAAAAAAAATTAATAAAATTAAAGTTAAAATCAATTTAGTCAAAAGACAGTCAATCGGATCTTTTGATATTAACGCTTCTGAGTCCGAAAGTAAAATGCCCCGGCACTTTATTTCGTTAATTTTATACTGTTGAAAATGACTCGAATAGAGTCGAAACGTCCGGACACTGTATTTAATTTATTCTAATATACGAAAATATATGTGGACTAAGAACAGCGCTTGACTCTCATTTGCCGATTTTTCTTTTTAAGTGTCATATTCAAGAGTCTAACATTTAGTTCTTAATGTCTTAATTATATTTCTGTTTACATGTAGATGTAGATGTGATAGATGCAGCAGATATATACGTAGAAGGTATGAATACACCTTTCATAGAAGATACAAATACAATCGTATCTAGTGGACAAATAATTAATCCAGTGTCATCTCCTTCATCTCAAGTACCTTCTTCAATATCTACATCACATAGTATGTAGACTAGATGCATTTTCAAATTTAATACAAAATGTAACTTGCATTTAAATGAAGGATATTGAAGCTATATATATTAATGCATATATTTATTTTATTTATTCATGTATCTTAG